GTTGTAGATTTTCTTTGAATGTCTGGTAGAATTCTGCTGTGAATCCATATAGGCCTGGGCTTTTTTTAGTTGGGAGGTTTTATATTACTGTTTCAACTTCTTTATTTGTTATGGGTCTGTTTAGGCTGTTGATCTCCTCTTGGTTTAACTTTGGTGACAGCCATGATTTTAGAAATTCATCGATTTCTTTTAGGTTTTCAAATTTAATGGAGTATAGATTTTTCAAGTATTCCCTTACAATATTTTGGATTGTTTTGGTGTCTGTTGTGATGTTTCCCCTTTCATCTCTGATTTTGTTGATTTAGTTTTGCTCTTTCTTTCTTTTGGTTAACTGGGCTAAGGGTCTGTCTATCTTGTTTAACCTTTCAAAGAACCTGCTCTTAGATTCATTGATTTTTTTTGTTATTGTTTTCTTTGTTTCTATTTCATTTATTTCTGCTCTGAGTTTTGTTATTTCTTCTCATCTACTAGGTTTGGGGTTGGTTTGTTCTTGCCTTTCCAGAGTCTTGAGTTGTATTATCAAGTTGATTACATGTGCTCTTTCTGATTTTTTTAATGTAAGCACTAAAAAATGTAGGCACTAAGAGCTATAAACTTCCCTCTTAGGACTGCTTTTAGGGTGTCCCAGAGGTTTTGTTGTGTTGTGTTCTCATTTTCATTTTGTTCTAGGAATACTTTTATATCTTTCTCAATTTCTTCTTTGACCCATTAATGATTCAGGAGTGTGTTGTTTAATCTAAGCTTTATTGCTCTGTGGTCTAATAGAAGGCATGGAATTATTTCAGTTTTTTTGTATTTGTTGAGATTTGTTTTGTACCCCAGAATGTGGTCAATTTTAAAATAACTTGCATGAGCTGCGAGTAGAAAATGTATTCTTTGGTGGTTGGGTGGAATATTCTGTATATATCTGTTAGGTCCATTTCATATAGTATGTCATTTAATTCAGATGTCTCTCTGTTTATTCTTTGTCCAGCTGACCTGTCTATTGAAGAAAGTGTGTATTAAAGTCGTCTACTATCACTGAGTTGTGCCAATCTCTGTTTTATGGTCCTGGACTACTGATTTTATGAAATTGGGTGCTCCAGAGTTTTGTGCATAAATGTTCATGATTGTAATATATTCTTGCTCATTTGTTCCTTTGATAAAAATGAAATAACTCTCCTTATCTCTTTTGATGAGTTTTAATTTGAAGTCTATTTTCTCAGATATTAAAATTGAAACACCTGCTTGCTTCTTAGGGCCATTTGCTTGGAATATTTTTTCCGTTCTTTCACCCTAAGATAGTGTCTATCCTTGAAGGTGAGATGAGTTTCTTGAAGACAACAAAAAGATAGGGACACCTGTTTGCTTCTTGGGGACATTTTCTTAGAATACTTTTTTTCCATCCTTTCACCCTAAGATAGTGTCTAAGCTTGAAGGTAAGATGCGTTTCTTGAAGACAACAAAAAGATGGGTTTTCTTTTTTTTTTCTTGATACCAGCCTGTGTCTTTTGACAGAGGAGATGAGGCCATTGATATTTAGTGTTATTATTTAAAGGTGTCTATTGTGTACTGTCATTTTAATTTCTTTGTGTTTGTGGCCCTATTTTCTATTTCCATTTTTATACCTTTCTTTATTTTCCTTTTGTAGGCTTTTGGACATACTCATTCCTTTCTTCTGTCCATTGTATTACTTCAAGTATTCTCTGTAGTGCTGATTTGGAAGACATAAATTCTTTCATCCTATTTGTGTCATGTAAAATTTTCTGTTCCCCTTCGACCTTGCTAATTTTGCTGGACAAAGTATTCAGGGTTGGCATCCATGGTTGTTTAGAATTGGGAATAGTTTGTTCCAGGCTTTTCTGGCTTTCATAGTTTGCATTGAAAAGTCTGCTTTAATTCTGATGGGTTTTCCTTTATATGTAACTCATTTTTCTCTAGTGGCTTTCAGTGCCCTCTCTTCTTTCTATACACTTAATGTTTTTACTGTGATATGTCCTGGGGACTTTCTGTTCTGATCATGTCTTCCTGGTGTTCCTTGTGCTCTTTGACTCTCCATAGGTATTTCTTTCCTTAATTTATGGAAGTCCTCCTCTATAATACTATTGAAGATTTGTTCAATGCCATAGCTTTGATTTTCTTCTCCTTCCTGTATGCATATGATATGTAGGTTTGCTCATTTCATGTTGTCCCACATTTCCTGAATATTCCATTCCTATTTTGTTTGGTTTTTTGAATTTTGCATAGTCTTTGCTTAAGAAGTCCAGATCTTCAAACTTTATCCTCTAGTCTTGATGTTCTGTTTTCCATTTCATTCATTCTGCTTGTGAGACTTTCTCCTGTTGTTTTTAACTGGTTTATTGAATGTTTCACTCCCATGTTCATTTCCATTTATGCTTTCTTCACTATTTCTATCTCTTTAGTGGATTTGCTTTTCAACTTATGATATGTTTTTGATATTTCATTAAGCCACATATTTGTATGTTCTTGAGCTTCCATCAAAAGTTTACGCCTTTCCTCATTGAGTTCTTTGAGTTGTTTGTGTTTTATTGTAATTCTTTGATCATGTTTTTATGATTGTTATTTTAAATTTTGTGTCCTGGAGTTCTGCAGAGTGATTCTCAATGTTGTGCACTTCTGTTGGACCCATGGGTTTTGTTGGGGACATATTTTCCTGGTTTTTCATATTATTTTTGTTTTTGTGTTGCCATCTGGGCATATAGTTGTTCTTTGTCAGTTACGTGTTCAACAGGAACTTTTACTCTGCAGAATCCTGGCTGAGCAGGTCTGTCTGTCTGATCCAGGAGGCTGGGACTTTGGCCATATGGTAGGGTGATTTGTTGCTCTGATTTGGGAAACTAGTCCAGAGTCCTGACTGAGCAGGTCTGTCTGCATGATCTGGAGGGTGGGCATTTGGTGGTGAGGGGACTAATTGGGTGAGGACTTAGTGAATCTGTGTTAGGGTGATTGGTTAATCTGGTTTGGGATGCTAGTCCTGGGACTTGAGGTGAAGGAATTAGAGCCTGTTTGTGAGAGAGGCTGGCAGGGACAGGGCTGAAAAAATTGCTTTGCTCATTCTTAATTGAAACAGTATCTCCAGCATGAAATGGGGGAATAGAAGTCAGGACATGTACTTGTCTTATCAGAGAATCTTGGTCTTTGATTCCAGGGCCTAGAATATCACACACAGACAACTATGAACAGACTTCTCAAACTTTCATTGTTTTCAATGAAATAAGTATGCTGCTTTCCAGCACTTTGTAGGTAAAGCATTAGTACATGCAGTCATTCATTTTGTTGGGTGAAGGGCAAGGAGGGGTCCTAGGGAATAAAGGTCAGGTACTCAGGTCACAAGAGAAGCATATAGTTCATGTTTGTTTACATTATAAAGAGTAACTTTTTGGTTGCAAGATTAGTTAAAAGTCTCTAGTCCAGATTATGTTACATCCATTTTGTAAAAGTCATTCCAACACATCTTGGTTTTCTAGTCTCACATTTACTGGCACATTTTCTTGAGAAATTTGTTGCCCTTTTCTTATTCCTGCTGATGTATGCTCTAGTTTGGCCTTCATTGCCATTACTCCATTGAAATCTTTTTGTAATGCTTTACACATGGCCAGGTCTGGTGGCTGTTTCAACCTTCTGGCCATGTGGTCAGTCACTCACATCTCTCTTCTTGGAACATATTCTTCAGTTATAGCTTTTCCTTATTTTCCAACACTGCTCTGGTCCTAGTTTTTCTTAGTGTGTTTACTCCCTCTGCTCCAACTTTGAAACAGTTGAATATTTTAGGGATTAGTCCTATGAATTTTTCATTTTTGTGTCACTTTGATGTTAAGGCTGATTTCTTCTGGTACCATGAGTGTGAAATAGCATTTATATACTCATAAAGTACAATTTTAAACCACTTTTCTTGACTTTCCCCCTGAACTTCTGACAGGCATAGCCAACATTTTCCCCACATGAATGTAGGCATGCTGCATTTAATATTGATGGAAACAATTCCTTGATTCTTCCAACTACCCAGTTCTTACTACTTTTATTCCCATGTCATAAATGGCTTACTGTTACTGAGTCAGAAACCTTGAAGTCATCACTGACTTACCACTTGTGCTAACACCTGATGTCTGATTCATTAGATGATTCAGTTGGCTCTACCTTTATACCAAGCCCAGAATGCTCCCCTTCTTGTAACCTTTGCCTATCCTCCTTCTGCTCAACATACTGCTCTTGCTCTCTCCTGGGCTATGTTGTGTTTTCCTTTAGAGTCTGTTTCTTGAAATAGAGTCCCCTTTTAAAACATGGATTTGATCACCATTTCTTTTCTCAAGACCTTCCCATGGCCTCAGTCTGATTCAGAGTCAAATCGTTTTGCTCACGCTGATTCTCTCCTTTGGTCCCCACAGTTCTTACTATCTTCTTTGCTCACTTTTTTGGCTCCAGCTCCAGATTTTCCAGAAATACTTACTTTTCACTCTTTCTTATCATGTCAAACATGTCTATGTCTCAGGGACTTTGTATTAATTTTTCTGTTGACTTCAGGCATTCCTTATTTGTAGCTCTGTGTCACAACATCCCCCATTTATTTCAGATCTCTGCTGCAGTATCACGTGTCAGCCATGTCAGCCATTCTTGTTAGTCATGACTTCCCTGTATACAATAGCAAACACCTTGCCATCTCTTGTCTTCATTCTTTCTCCTTCTAGTACTTACCACCATTGCTGCTAGACTAGAGACTCCATGACATAAAGACTGGGGCAATTTTGACAACTTCACTAGACTTTAGGTGCATGGAACATAGGAGAGATGTCCAGTTGTATATTATATGTCATGTTTGTACTGTTTCCACAAATTTGGTGATATTTAATTTTAACAATATATTAATTCTGGCTTTAATTTATAACTATAATATAGCAGATCATTACTATAAAATTCTGTGACACAATATTTTGAGTTATAACAGTCATTAGCTTTCTAGTAGAAAAGTGAAATAAAATGCCTTTTGTTTAATTTCATCCTAGGTATGAGTTAATCCAGAAGGGAGGAACTGATCTTAGATCTGTTGGGACTGTTCCAGATGTCTACAGCCAGGTTATGCTTTTAGAGAATGAGAACAAAAATTTGAAGAGAGATTTGAAGAACTTCAAACAGGCAGCTGAGTATGTTATTTTTACCTGACACATTTAAAAAAATTAGTCTAAATAAAGTTAAAGAGTTGCAGTAAGTAGATACGTACATTGAAAAATTTAATTCTGGAGTGTTGAATCATATTTATGTTCTAGTTGTAAAAAGCTTCACAAGCAAATTCATTGAGTAGATAACTAGACCTACTAAGTACAACTCACTAAAGAAGCAGAACCCAAGTCTCTGGGTGCAGATGGTGAATTTGTTACACAACAGCTGCTGTCTTATGTGTGTGATAATCTTTCATGGTTTGTGAAGTTTTCTCTCATCAAGATAAGCTAGTTTCAGACATGATAGTTTCATTAATGAAATTAATGAAAAGAGTGGAAGGATGGAGCCAATCTGTTCTTAGTAGGAGAATTGTAGTATTTAAAATTTTTTTTATTTATTATTATTTTTTAATTTTATGTGTGTATTGCCCACATGTAGGTAAGTGCAGCTGTGTTGTGCAATGCCCGTGGAGGTCAGAAGAGGCTGTCAGATCCCTTGGGACTAGAGTCATGGACAGCTGTTAGCTGCCATGTGGGTGCTGGGATTCAAACCCAGGTCTTCTGCAAGAACAGCTGGTGTTCTTAACTGCTGAGCCATCTCTCCAGCCTGAGAATTGCAGTATTTTAAAATTCCTTAAAAGGAATAATGTTATTTGTGCCCTATGGTGGTAGTAGTGTGCAGGTTTACATGTTATAATAATTGTATCACTTTGGTGGGGGCTGTTGATAATGGGAAAGGCAATGTATATGTGGAGGTGGAAGCCATGTGGAGCATCTCTGTGTATGTGGAGGTGGGAGCCATGTGGAGCATCTCTGTGTATGTGGAGGTGGGAGCCATGTGGAGCATCTCTGTGTATGTGGAGGTGGGAGCCATGTGGAGCATCTCTGTGTATGTGGAGGTGGGAGCCATGTGGAGCATCTCTGTGTATGTGGAGGTGGGAGCCATGTGGAGCATCTCTGTGTATGTGGAGGTGGGAGCCATGTGGAGCATCTCTGTGTATGTGGAGGTGGGAGCCATGTGGAGCATCTCTGTGTATGTGGAGGTGGGAGCCATGTGGAGCATCTCTGTGTATGTGGAGGTGGGAGCCATGTGGAGCATCTCTGTGTATGTGGAGGTGGGAGCCATGTGGAGCATCTCTGTGTATGTGGAGGTGGGAGCCATGTGGAGCATCTCTGTGTATGTGGAGGTGGGAGCCATGTGGAGCATCTCTGGACCCTCTTTTGTTAAGTCTTTGGTAAGCAGAAAGCCTCTCTAGAGATAGCCTTTTGAAAAGAAGAAACTGGGAGCTATTAATAGTCTCATGGTCAGCAGCCAACCACTTTTACAATTTTGTTGACTATCTTTGTGGGCTTTTCCAATGTGTGCATATGCTTACATAATTTTTAAATAAAAACCGCACTAATGCCTCAGGTCACATTTTGTGACTTTTCAATCAAAATAAATAATAACATTGAGAATTTTTATTTATTTATATTTTGATTAACACAAATTTTATTTTCAAAACTTTAAAATAATTCCTGAAAAGAAGCCCTTGCTTTATAATGTCTAGAACAAACATATGTAAAAGGAGACTTAACAGCTAGAAGCATAATCTTTCCACTACTTTCTCTTTCTAAAATTAATGGAAGAAATAGTTTTTGGTGGATGATTTTAGATAAATAACCAATGTACTTCTGATAAAGAATTATGTGAATACATTGACTTGGGGAGTCTACTCAGATTAGGTAATATTATGTGGAAATATCAATAATTCGATGTAGTTCATGCTTTATTCATCCATTTTTACTAAACATATTTAAGGAGGATAGTTGGCAAATAAGTATATTAACACAAAAACTAGGAAAAAGGACTACTTTGTGGAAGCATAATATTTTAAACATATATTTAAAAATTAATATAAAGAAATGTGATTTTATATTGTCAAGTGAAAGAAATATTTACTTTTAAAAAATTGCTTTTAGCTCTCTCCTACCCGCAGGCCTCTCTCCAGGCTAAGTCCATTGTGCCCTCTGCACCTTGACTCCCCCAGCCTCATTCACCCTACCGTCTCCCCCGCTGGTCTCTCCTAGTTTGGGTCCTGCCCCATTCCTTGTCTTGGGGCCCCAGACACCTGGGGAACCAATACTGCTTCCTGATCCTTTTCATACAGACCAAGATAGTGCCTTCTCTGGGCCCCTGAGCACTGCTTCTGGGCCTGGCCCCGCCCTCACCTCCCTCTGCTTCCCTGGGCCTGCACCACCAGCCAGCTTCTTTCTGGGACACAGGGGATGACCTATCCTCTTCCTGATCCTTTGCTTCTAGACCAACACAGCTCCTCAGTGCAGTCCCCAGGAGTCCTTGGGACCTCTTCCCGCCCCATCTGCCGTTGCATCTCTGGGTGGCACAGGCACCAGCTGCCCTAGACCAGCATATTTTCTGGGCCAGGTTCCCAGGCCAGCCCAGCCCCCAAATTTGTGAGGCCAAAGTGGTTCCTGGAGGGATTCAGACCTTAGGAGAAAGCCTGAAAACATATGATCCTCATCTGAATTGGGCCTCTGTGGGAACTCCTGAAGACAAAAGCAATCTGGCCACTCCAATATAAAATCAAAAAAGAGAACCAGAAGCTTAGAAGAGCCAGCTTTTCATGCCCAAAAAGTAAACAACAAAGACACATAAAGTTCACAAAAAGGAGCAGACCTAAACTTGAAGTCTTGAGTCTCACACAAGAATCAGAAACTACAAAAGAAATTCACATGTCAAAATCTCAGAGAAAAAATAATAACATGAAAAACCAAAATAACATACTCCACCAAATACCAATAGTCCTCTAGAGTAGCACAATGAGAACCTCCTAGAGATAATGCAGGACATGGAACTCAAAAGAACAATTATAAACATGGTAAAAGAATTCCGTGAATTTAAAGAACACACAAACAAGGTAATCATAGAGCTGAAGGAAGATAGGGATAAACTTCTGAATGAATTCAGAAAAGAGCTAGAAATATTGAAGAATACTCAGGCTGAAATGAAGAAGGAAGTGAAACACTCAGTAGGCCAATTAGAAATGACAGGAGAAAGCCTCACCTGTAGGATGAACAAAATGGAAAACAGAGTATCAAGACTAGAAGATAAAGTGGACGAACTGGACCACTCAAGCAAAAACTATGAAAAATTTAAGAAATCACAAGAATGGAATATGCAGGAATTGAGTGATACCATAAAAAGACCAAACTTGCGAATCATAGGCATACAAGAAGGAGAAGAATCCCAAGACAATGGCATGGACCAGATCTTCAACAGAATTGTGGAAGAAAATTTCCCAAACTTAAAGAAAGACATGCCCATACAAATACAAGAAGCATACAGAACACCAAACAGACAGGACCAGAACAGAAACTCCACGGCACATCCTAGTAAAAACACTACACGCACAAAACAAAGAGAAAATACTGAAAGCTGCAAAAGAGAAACAACAAATCACATATAAAGGAAAACCCATTAGGATCACAGCTGACTTTTCAATGCAAACTATGAAAGCCAGAAGAGCCTGGATCAAGGTATTTCCCATTCAAATACAAGAAGCATACAGAACACCAAAAGACAGGACCAGAACAGAAACTCTCCACAGCACATCGAAACGAGAAAGAAAAATCTTCCATGACATAAATAAGCTGAAGGAATTCATGTCCACAAAACCAGCCCTTCAGAGAGTTCTGGGAGCAATACAAAGAGCTGAAGAAAGGAATGACTATAAACCCAAGTGATTGTGGAAAAAATCCAGTGAAGGTATATAACTGTGGAAAAGTAAAGCTATATCAAGAATGTAAACAGAAATAAAAATGACAGGATTCAATACTCATCTTTCATTTATAACTTTAAATATTAATGGACTAACTCCCCAGTCAAAAGACACAGACTATGAATGGATTAAGAAACAAAACCCATTTTTTGTTGTCTGCAAGAAACTCATCTCACTTTCAAGGACAGAGACTATCTTAAAGTGAAAGGATGAAAAAAATGGCACTAAGAAAAAAGCAGGCATAGCAATTCTAATATCTGACAAAATAGACTTTAAACGAAAACTAATCAGAAGAGACAAAGAGGGCCACTTCATTCTGATCAAAGGAACAGTGAATCAAGAAGATATTACAATCATGAACATATATTCACCAAACTCTGGTGCATTCATAAAGACAATACTACAGGACTTTAAGAGCCAGATTAATCCCAACTCATTAATAGCAGGGGACTTCAATACCCCACTGTCTCCATTAGATAGGTCAACAGGGCAGACAGTTAAACAGACATCTGAATTAAACAATACAATATATCAAATCGACCTAACAGACATCTACCGAGTATTCCACCCAAGCACCAAAGGACATACTTTCTCCTCAGCATCCCATGGAACCTTCTCCGAAATCGACCATATACTGGGACACAAAACAAACCTCAACAAATACAAAAAGATTGAAATAATTCCATGAATTCTATCAGACTACAATGCAATAAAGCTTACAATCACCACTGGAAGAAGCCCTAATCACCACATGAACACATGAAGATTAAACAACACACTCCTGAATGATGAATGGGTCAAAAGAGAAATTAAGAA